GATGAAATCGCAATCAGCTGATTGGATTACAGCAGATAGTTATTCGCACTTGAGAAGAACACTACGAATGTTAGTATACAGAATCGAGTATGTGACGTCAGTAGTAGATACAGTGGCATTCTGGGGTTTACGGAGGGTTGAATGTGGCAGATAAGGTTTTGTGGTATTTTTCTTTTGCTAGCTGCCTCGTTCTGTCATTTCTTTAACCAATTTATGAACAGTGCCGTAGTAGTATGTCTTTTGTCCGATGATGAGTTTTTTCTAGCGCAATTTAAAGATTGTATTCCGTTGGCGAGTGAAGCGAATCAGCTCACAACAAACAGAACGTGTTACAAAACAAAAATCCTCTGATATGCTTATATTTGTGGCTTTGAGCGTGAAGGCTTTAGATAGCACATCATCCTTAGTTTTATAAGATGCGAACTTTGCAATTATCGGACGAACTTTGTCATGGGCACTTCTGCCGATACGATGCGCTCTGAATATCCTTCGATTTCAGTGTTAGTTTCAAAGTGTCTCTGCAAATATTAGTTACAAGTTTTTCGCTATCTGCCCAAGATTCCGATTCCCCTTCTTCAACGCCATAGAAGAAAAGATTGCAGCGACACAACCTGTCCTCGGCATCATTTAGTTGGTCCTGAATGCCAACAAGTCTGTTCGACGTCTGCACGGATGTTGTCAACAAGTGACCTCAAGTTCGGTAATAGTTTGCATTGATCCTCGATTTTCACTATGCGTGCAACGATGTCAGCAAGATACTGTTCAGCGTTAGTGAGTCGCGCATTGATAGACTTAAGCTCTGTCGAAATTTCCGCCTGACCGGCTTCTAATTTTGATAACATGACGTGGACCATTAGGTCAGTTTGGTTGTTTCGGATGTGTGTGGTAGGGCCTGGATTTTCCTCCACGTCTCCCGACAGCAACAATAGTTCATGAGCAATGTTCACAAGACTACAAAGCAATGACACAACCAGCGTGGGCTCGGCAGCTGCACCAAACAACGATTACTAGTATTCTTAGCGTAAAGACTGTGGTTATGGGATTTGCATGTACAGTTCACACGGCTGTTGCACCTAAATGCTATCAAAATAAATCAGGGATGTCTGGTTATTTTTCTGACAAGAATGATCATTGGATCTGGGAGAACCTTGATGCACAGCTGCTGCATCCAGCTACTGCTTAAGTGACTATGTCCTTAGAAGGATCTGTAGGTCTTAATCGCACAAGCAACACTAAACTTGCAGCATTAAAAAGGCCACGACACCCAATTATTGCTCATAATCTGTGCTACGAGGATTAATTCTTGGATGTTCACAAACAAGCTGACAAAATTTCTGCATACTTAGACGAGCACTTAATTTATAATGAACATTTTTACAAACACACGAGCAGCTCGGGAGTCTGACAACACTGGCATACTCGTGGGCCTTGACGTAACAAGTCACTTGTTTTGCGAATGTCTGCTTTCCGGTCTGAGATTTTGTTTGGTAGTCAGCTGAGCATACAATTGAGCTACTTCAGCTTTCTTCAGCTTGGCAATAAAAATTTAATAATTTCGGGTTGCTGAAACTTCAGTTCAAGTCGACGACTTCGCTTCATGAAGAACATATCACACACACTATGGTTAAATGCCAATTGTCAGCAGTGACCCAGTAGGCGGAGTTTTGTAGCCAGTGACTTCTAGGGCTCGTTCAGCAATGAAATATTTTTCTACAGTCAATTTTCGATATATGTGCAGGCACAATAGACCCTCTATTTCTATTTTTTCTATCTTCTAGAAAAAGCTCAGCCCGAGAAACTAGTCTTTATCTCCTTTATCAAGGTAGCAGAAAGGATACAAATCTAAAAGACTCACTGGTGGCCTACTCGGTCCTATCTACTAAAAAAATATAGTTCTCTTGTCCCACCAACACATTTCAGTATTCTTTTTTTTTTTCCAGAGAACTGCAAAAGTGATTGGAATCTACTCCTCTCAGCTGTAGTTACCTGCCCATCATTATCTTATCTACAGGCCTTTCAGTTTATAACGTATAGCTCTGACATACCTAGTTCATGAAGCTTGATGCTTTTGTCACATGTATGAGCGTATACCTATTTACTATGCATATTGTCGTCAGTGGCAAATCCAGAGGGGAGGGGGAGGGGCAATATGGGGCAAATGCCCCCCTCCTCAAATCTGTGTCAGCACCCCTCCCTCACTTCAGTGCTTATAGTCCACCTAATATCACAAATTAGGACAAATAAATGAAATCACTGTGGGCACACATTCGCAGTATTCATGCTATGAATGGGTTTTTCTGCTCATAAAAAGAAAAAGTCATGAGCATGCAGCCTCTCCAATGTTACTTGAGGTGACCCCCCCCCCCTCTAAACTGAGTGCCTGGATCCGCTCAATTGTTATTATATTAAAATATATTGCTGTATCTATTTTGAATGTATTTATTGTATTTTTTTCCTAATTTTGATTATTTGTTTGTACTGATGTTCATTTGTAACATTTCTCTTCATGTATTCACTAAATGACATTTTGTAAAAATCTATATTTTGTATGTATATAATGTATTCATTATTTTTTTAATTGGCCTGTAGTATTTTATAACCCCCTACTTCCTAAAATCTGAAATCCGGACCAGCAGTATTCTATAATAAATAAAAATAAATTTTTCACTGAACATGAATTTGGTGGGTGACTGTGCCATGACCCCTTTTGAAAAATAGTTGATGTCTGTGAGGTCAGCGGGGGTGCCAGCAGCCCAACATTGCACTTTGGCTTTGCATATTTCAGTTCCAACACTTGTTGCCACTGCACAAGCATACTACTTAAGCGGCAAAGCTTTTTAGCAAATAATTACATCTCTAACAAACAAAAATCTATCATCATCACATACTGGAATGTGTCACAGAAATTGGGTAAATCTGACTACTCGGCACTTATACACTAAAAATAAAGAAAGCAAAAGTTAGCTCAACAAATGGCTGCAAAGTGACAGTGACGAGCCGAAGACCCTGAATTAGTATAATGAGAATATACTATTGAAGGGAACAGGAAAGACAACGGCAGCTGCGAAAAGGCCCCAAAGCGATGAAAGGCCTGCGTAAACAACTACGTGCCTGTAAATTTATGAAAGGTGAGAACGGTTGGTTACAGCGAGAGTTTCTGCCTCTGCAGTTAAGACATCTGTGTTGTGTCTGTGACTCTCTGTAGTTTACCTGGAACCTCTCCGAGCTGAGAATTAATGTGGGCACAACGTAGCATCGCCTGGCTAAAACCTAGCAACAATCTAGAATCAACCATATTAGTTTTCAGAATCCTCCAGCTTCGTTGTTTCAAGCCTTGTTTGGTTTAGTGCAAGCTTCACTAATTTGGTCTTGTTTTTTCTTGATAATGCAACTATTCAGGTTTACAGTAATGGAAGAGCATTTTGATTTTTGGAGCAGATCATGAAGCAGAAAAAATGGTGCTTTGAAGCAGCCTCGATTGTTTTTGAAGCAGCAAAAATTGAACCTGAAGCAGCAATTGATATTTTCAGAGCAGATAGCAAAATATTCAGAACGACTCCTGGAGTTTAATGCATCATGCAAGCCTCGTATATATATCAATAATATTAAACATACTGTACATACATTAATCATTGCAAATTGCAAGAAACATAATTAGGCAGTCTTTGAACAGTAAGTGTTGTTATCATATTTTGTGAAAGTAACCAGCATTGAAACTTCCAAAAATCAAGTAAGCTAAGTGAATTAACATTTAAAATGCTTGCTTTTATGACATCAACGAGTTCAATGTTGATGAAAATGCTAAATGTGAACAGAGACGTGTCAAAGTTGTTGCAACTGAGAATAGTACAACTAAGAAGCCTCACACTCATTTCACCAAACTAGTCTGCTTGTAAGGTAAAAATATACAACTACTATATCAGTCATATAGAAAAGGCTGGTATGAGCAGCACTGTCAATATTCTAGTATACAGAGCTACTATACAAGCTGTGCACTAGATAACAGAATACAGCTTGTTTTTTGTTTTCGTTTAGGGTTGGTGGATGGTCACATGCTTTAACTTCATTGTATTTAGTTTCCCCAGTGCAATTTCAGAGCAGGTTCTAAGCAGTTACTGACAAATATGCACTTTGGAGAAGTATGAAGCAGCATTCCTTTTTTGGAGTAATTGGAGCACCACTTCCATCACTGGGCTTATGTAAACCATGTCTTAATTAATGGGCTGAAGCAGATCGCAGACAAAGGACGCATAATTCCAAAGTAAACATAACTCTTTCATCCTCCTTGCCACTACCAGTGCATGAAACCATGACCTGTAAAATGACAGCACGCATGGAAGACGCTAGCACTCCTCATGCATGAAGTCAAGTGCATAGCTCCTATATTTACTGAAAATGCATGTGCGATTATACTAGTTATGTGTCCCTTCCAGGTACAAATTATGATGCACTGTCTACAAACATGTCAAATTCCCACAACATAACTCCAAGGCACTGAGCATTACATTCCAAGAACCAAAATTAAGCAATGTGATGTTTTGAGTGAGTTTTAGTCATTATTTGTAATTAGTGTGCAATCAAATATTTAATTTTGTGGTAGTGAATCATATTCCATTTGACATAAAAAGAATGAAATCACAGGCTCCAATTGTTGGCACAAGTAGTTTTTGGTTGTGTTCGTAAGTGGAAAAGGAAAGTGGTACTCTTCCCTTGGGTCCTGGAGTGCAGCATATCAAACGACCTGTCGAACATTGCAGTACCTTCACCAAAGTGCCGGATTAGTCCTACACAGCACACTGAAGTCAAGCCAAGATATAAAGAAAATTCTGTTCATCTAATAAGCAATGTATCTTGCTCTTTTTCTGCCAAAGGCGAAAACAAAAAACCAATGATTACGATGTCAGAAAGCAAAATACTTATGGGAAACTATCATGTGCTCCTCTTAATTTTATTATTATGATTATTGAAACACACATAATAACAACTACTGTGCTACTCACCAGTCCCATGGCAGTGGAGGGTCTACACCGGGTATGTTACTATTGTAGAAAACCATCATAAATGTCATCACAAGCACCCCAATGCCGCATAAAGTGGCCTTCCAAAATTTATCTGCAACATGGTAATGACAAAATAAATCAGTTATTACAGAAAAAAAAAGATCTGCTTTTTTCACAATTTTCTGGCCATTCTAGTCATGGACAGATAAATGCAAAGTTGACTTACACAAATGCAGCAATGCTGCACACTTATTATAAATCAAAGTTATGTTTTGTAATGAACACCTCAAAGTGATGACATATAGTATAATGCTTCCTAGAGGTTCACTTGCCAAAAAGTATTTCTTGCATATTTTCAATAGCCTGGTGCCAATAAATGAATAATAAATAAAAGTGATTATCCAAAACGTGGCACTAATTTTTAAAACGTGTGAACGTCAGTGTCCCATGCAATTATTTATTTAATTATGAAATCAAAAATTCGTTTTTTATTCATCAGTATGCAATGATAACTTTGCATACCGACTATCCTTTGTTTTGCAATAAGCTGGCATGACTGCTTATGAGATTAAGCGCTATAGTACTTAGTCACGCAGAAAAGAAATGAGTACAAAATGCGTAAGCTTACATGGCTAATGTTACCAACCTCATCATCGATAAAACGACTATGTTGATTATTACCTGCAAGTGCAATCGAAATCACCAGCTCTTCGATGAATGAGTAGACCTTGTGAGCTCGAAGACCATTTTCTAGAAGGGGGGGGGGGGGCGTGAAAATACCGAGGAAGGTGGACATCAACAAATTTATTTGCATATTCACAAGCATGTAGCACACTAAACGGAAATAAAACAACTACGCGTTTAAGGGGCCAGGTTTCTCATTGGTGCACTTTTGTCTGGTGTGGTCGCATACGTAATATAGTATACCGTACCACCTTAAATCGACATTAGAGGGTAGAAGCATTTCCTTTTATTAGTTCTGGCGCAAAAGCTCTCCCAGGAATCTTAGCATACGCTTCTGCAATCAATCACGTGACGATATAATAGTTATAATCGAAGAGAAGTATTCGTAGGTCTCTCGATGTTCACCCTATCGCACATCATTTAAAATATATAGACAACCGAGTTTCTATTGTGATGAGCGCAACTACCTTAATCGAGTACAGAAATAACAATGATTGAAAGAAAAAATGTCACGCACGTAAGCGCGAGGCTTAGAGCTTTGCTTGAAGTTGGGAAACACGGAAAACAGCTCGCAAAAACAGTGAGACATCGTAGCACGTAGTCCCGGCAATGAGCTTGGACTTCGTTAACTAAAGTTATTGCAAGTAGTTGCAGCTCGTAAGAGTAGCTTAAAAATATCACTGTGGCTAAAAGTGAATATCACCTTTACTGAAGTACAGGACGACGTGGCCAAATAAGAGGAGAACTACAACCAGTAGTCCAGCAAGTGGGGCATAGCTACTTGCACGGGCCAAGAAACTTGAATTCCCGATACTGCAGGTATCACTTATATCTGGGGGCTTTTTACGAGACATTTCGCAGGCACTTGCGCACTAATGCTATAGATAAGATTAACTACATTGTTAAGTGTATTTAGTGCACAGAAAACCACGCAAAGGGTACGCTGAGCGATACGCGAGAACCACGATACCATGCACGAAACACACGAAAGCGATCGCTCGTTCCTTGTTTATAAACTTGTGTACTAACGCAAGCCAAAGCCAAAGCATGGATACGTTCGTTACTATCAGTTTCGTAGTTATCGCAATATTGTGTTTCAAAATATGTAATGATAAATCAGAAAATTAGGCAAGTTTTAAAAACATTATGTACGCAAAAGTAGAAAAAGTTAAATAAAAACATTGTTAGCCAAGCAGTTTGGCGCGAAGTTCTAATCTGGTCTCAATAAAATGGCCAACGCATGATTTTGCAGGTACTCCGATGACACTGGTTTAGCCATGGTAGTGCGGGGGGGGGGGGGGGGTCTCTTTTTCGTATTTGTTCATACACCACGCACACATGCAAACAAGCCCCCACCCCGTCCTTCCAAAGAGAATAAAAAAGAAATCTTGCTATGCTACACACTGACGATAATAATTTCTGCCATCTCCGACGAAACGGATTGGTGCAGGCGATGATTAAAGGAAATGGCGCGCCAGAGCTCTCTGGTATGCACCGGAGCGATTTGTAGATGTTTTCCTGAAAATGAGTTCCATGGGGCTGGGGATGCGGGCTTGTTGGTTGGTCATACTTGGATGAGTTGAGCGCACAAAAGAACCAGACAAGAGGAAGAAGTTTATACACTCAGGTGCTGAAACGCATGTTAAAACTAATTTCTGAAAATGAATGTTAATGAGTGCAGACTAATTCTGGAATCACTTGAATGAGGGACACCCTGTTTTTGTCACGGCTGCATTCTCCATCTTCACTCGCTTCATACGGCGGCAGTACAGTACATTACAGCATGTAAAAAGCAAAAGGCGATTCTCCCGCGCTCAAACCGACGCTGGAATCGTCGCTTTCAAGATCCGAAAGGCTGGCCTACCTCAGCTTTTATTTCCTAGCGTTAGAATCATGTATGTCATATTTATAGTACGGTGGTGTATCAGAGGCGTTGTTAAAATCTCCCTGCATCTGACGTGTGGGCTTGGCAGGCAAATGTAGTCTAGAAGTACATTTTTATGGGCTAGTTGGTTTATGATACTGCACAGGCCACCAAAATATGGCTGTTTTTGAGCGACGAAATAGCATGGGAAGGCGTCAAGGGGAGCGCAAACTTTCGATATGTTATTTGATCATATTCTACATCAAAATTTATAGGCACGGACATGAGCAGGAAGCCAGGCACACGTCGATTGCAAACCACCCTAATCATGACCTGTGAACAAGGACTTGCTCTCTGCCTGCAAGAGAGACACTGAACTTTAATAAATAAGGAACCTCGTGTTTTTATGTGGAATGCCTCCACGGCTATTCTCGAGCTGTGGTGTCCCTGCTTCTGCCAATAACCTGAATACAATTCAGGCAAGGCTGACGTCACTTATGAAAATTACAGTACCTCTACAAATGTGCCCGATCTCTATCTTTTAGGGAATGCTCGTGTTCCCGCGCCCGCACATTCCCGCACTTCCCTGTCTGGCCAACATACGTCTTGCCGCTGGATAGCGGAAATTCGTAAACAACACCGGTGGCACGTTCTGTGTACGAGTTGGCGTGTTCTACCCGCGCCCACCTTTGTTAATTGCTATATCATCAAACAGTATGCGTGGACATAGTTGCGACAGCTTTCGCGGCGCTAACATAAACACCACACCATAAATGTCTGTTTGCAACCTTTTTTAGGTTGTGTGCAACCCGGAACGGCCTCAGGCCCTCAGGTCTCACCGTTCTCCGCTCCTGATGTTCGCTCTTGAACTTCTGCCGGAGCGACTCGGCGACTGCGATATAAGGAGTGTGCCAAGGAAACCAGCCACGGACAACTGATGTGGTCGAGTGCCATGTCGGGGTCTGTGTGGTCAACATCACCTAGACTTTCAAGGCCGAAGGACTCTCCGCATTCCGAGTGCTGACGAGATCAACCGACGGCGGCTGGGAAAACCAAAACCGGCTTTCCCGGCGGGGGACATTTAGGGAAAGCGACTTGGATAGCCACTGTAATTTGGCTAAGCACGGATGCATACAAACAGAGACACGTGTGCAAGTAGCCATTCAAAAACTCACATTTGCCTGGCCCCGCCGCGGTGGTATAGTGGCTAAGGTACTCGGCTGCTCACCCGCAGGTCGCGGGATCGAATCCCGGCTACGGCGGCTGCATTTCCGATGGATGCGGAAATGTTGTAGGCCCGTGTGCTCAGATTTGGGTGCACGTTAAAAAACCCAGGTGGTCGAAATTTCCGGAGCCCTCCACTACGGCGTCTCTCATAATCATATGGTGGTTTTGGGACGTTAAACCCCACATATCATCATCACAACATTTGTCTGAATAATGAAAGACAAAAGCCCAAACAAAGCTGCATATTAATCATACTAAGGATATAATTTAGTGAAATATGCACTTACAACGGGGAAATGCTCCAGTCGGAAGGGCTCTATTTTCATTGACGGAGGACAGACATAGTGTGGTGGCACAGCGTGCACCTTAGTTTAGTTCTCGGTGTCGCGAGTGCTGTATCCTGGCATGCTAGACGTGCAAGGTGCGCGTTTTCAGATTGCCGCAAGACGACGAGCTGCGGAGACAACAGCTGCGTGCAATTTCACAGGACAACTTCATTCAGTGGCAGTACTCCAAGGTGAGTTTAGTTGCAGATTAAGTTTCGTATATTTCACAGCGCGATTACACGTACGCAGTGTTTCAGCTTCAAATAGTACTTAACCCTTTGATGGATGATGGGACACATAGGTCCCACTTTTTGAGTTGTCTTTCTTTTCGCTCTAAAACGCTTGTACATGAATTATTATTCGAGAATTTTATATGGCGCCATCTATGAAGCTTTATGCAAAACATTCCATGCAGTTTTTGGTCCTTTACCTGAGGTGAAGCTGGAGGGGCTCCTGTTACATTCTGTTGTGTTTTCGTGCTCCTGTCTCGTCAGTGTGCGCCTGTTCTTCAAGCTAATTCAACGACATATACATATCTGGTAAGTGAAATATTTGCTTCGTGCACTACAGTATTGTTTTGAGAAATGCAATTGCCCATAAATGTTACCCTACGATACGAAAAAAAAAACAAAAAAAAAACATTGCATGTGTGAATCTCGTGTCACACGTGCGTTTTCACACCCGCAGGGTTACGCTTGCTGAGTAGCGTGCGTGCACTGGCGTGATACCGATGTCTAATTGGCTGATTTACTTCTCCCACGCAGAAAAACAAAAACGGCTGTGACCAGAGGAAGCTCTAGAACTGTTTTTCAGTTTACCGGACAATTGCAATGACACTATACAGATGAGTACTGCGAAAGTTCCGAAGACGAAGAGTTTGTGCTTGCCCCTGATTAAAGCAGCAAAGAGGACGACACTTTTCCGCCGCTACCAGGGCCGAGTACAAGCAAGCGCAAATGATTCCGACGCTAACTATACGTTGGAAAAAGAAAAAAACGAAACAAATATCGAAAAAGCTTTCTGAAGAGCTTGGTGACGAGACCATGGACAACCAGTGGGACTTCTTAAAGAACCCCAGGTGGTCGAAATTTCTGGAGCCCTCCACTACGGCGTCTCTCATAATCATATGGTGGTTTTGGGACATTAACCCCCACATATCAATCAAACCAGTGGGACTCATCCAAGTTTGTAGCCACAACTCCTGCAAATTGCAGTGCACTTGTATCCCAGAAGCTTTCGTAGAGAAGCACTGTACTTGAAATATTATCTCTGTATTATAATGGTGATGTTATGAAGAATACATATATCGTCGATCAAATGAATTTACACGTAACACAAACAAAACGAGCAGGATAGACGTCACTGACATGCTTGGAACTTCGTGCTTACATAGACGCCAGGCTCTCCCCAGGCGGCGCTGCGAAAAACGCCGCAATCAGCGCCCCCATCGACGCACCAGCCATTAATGGGTACTGCAAAGCGAGGCGTCCGCAAGCGAACGTGCATATGCCCTCCTCTTTCGTTGGCTTTGAGGCGTGGTTTCCAGAAAATCAAGAACTTGGCAAGCTTGTTATTTCAATCCAACCTCGCTTCAAAAAAGTAGGAAGCTCATCAAAAGAAACTGTGGGTACAATGCGAAATATGTTTCAGTTAATTCGGCGTACTGCAACTGGCACTTTAAGTGCAAGCGAGCATCGCATAATATCGAGTTACAAGCAAGCACTCCGACGTTCGTTCTGTAACCCCTAAATGCGTTAAACTTGGGCATACACATAATGCCAAAGCGATGAAGTGCATACACGAGCAATATATTTCACGGTCAGTGGTACGAGGTTCACTTTATCCGGCACAAATAGCCCTGGTGGTTTTCGCCATTGCAGTTGCATTCTCCATCGATCTCTCGCTTCCTGTGCGTAGAATTGTTTTAATACGCATACTTATATGTTCTGTTGACGGTTGTCATCTGCTTGTATATACTGCAAACGGGGATGCATGCGTGTCCACTTTCTCATTGTACAACGAAATGCAAAACCGAGGTCTCCGAGATAGCTTCGGCAATCGCGGAGCCCTATGGCAAGAAAAAAAAAAAAAGACATTTTGTGGTAATGATTATTTTGCGATTTACATATATGACGTGCATGTTCGCATTTAATAGATACAGCCACTTCTAAGTTACGGAACTTAGAGCCATGAAAGTTCTCAGGCGTAATGCTGTGGAGCTTCAGGTCAGGTTATCGGCAATCGTGACGTGTGCGATGTTTATCGTGCGCGTTACCTGTCTACTGCTGCACGGTGCACACCACGGTCAGAGGCTCTGTTAAGCTTCATAATCAAAGCTACTACGGTTACCTACCACTTGATATCAAAGCTACTGAGAACCATGACAGGAGATTTACATTATAACACTTTCTCACGCGAACGGCTGTAGACAACGCGAGTGATTCGCTTACCCAACACCATCCCATGTACAGCGCTCTCGCCGTTCTGTCTCATTAATGTCCGTAGCAATTCACAAGGCAACTGTAGCTTCGTCTGGGGTCTTTTTTTCGTAGAGCGCGGAGATGTTGCGTCTGCTCTTGTTTTCGCCGTCGT